ATATTATTCAGCTACTAAATGAGCCAGAAAATGTTTATTTGAGACTAAGATTGAGTGTACTAAAGCTTTCGAGCCTACAAAATTGCAATATTTCTACACCTTACATATTTATGAAAGTATTAGTAATGTTTACACAGTGACCACACCCTCTAAATTGAAGTTCCTATCACATCAGCCATTTCTGGGAAATCCATTGTTAATAATACAGAGAGTGATGCATGGAGATAAAGCGAAATGGACCTTGACATCTCATAGAGCATAAGAAATCATCATAAACAATACAGGTATAATTGCTGTAGCCTTGTATTTACTGCAAAATGACAAGCCTGCCATCTTTGAAAGTCTATGGACCAAAACGGCAAAATTCAAAACATCTTTCAGTCTACATCTACAGGAATTTACACCTTCCAAATTGGCTGGGAATCCTCCTGTCAAAACTGGCGCCTGGGAACGCACATATGTGCAGAAGGTTCTACAGACCAATTCTTGTACAAAACTGTATAAATAAATCTTAGAATACGTAAATAAGGTATAACAACTATAACAAAGGCCTTTGAAAGCATAACAGTAAAACAGCAGACACTCTTAATAAACAAAATACCATTTTGACACAAACCCAGTAAAACGTGGAACTACTTGGCATATTGCAATAATGAGTTCTGCGGTCAGTCCAGTGTTTACTCTGAACATGTAAACGAGATGATCGCCTTAGCTAAACTAGGGCTCTCACTTCTTGTTCTTTTACAGAAAGTACCTCTAGGAAGCATTTGCACAAATATTGCATAGAAGTAAATTGTCTTGGTTATTATTGTTCTATTATTTTGTACTACATATTGTCCCCACTTTCTTATCATTAAGCTGTGAAGGTAATACCATAGGTGAAATGTGTCTTATTTTTGGTTATTCTGTCTATAACAGGCAAACTCTACTCTGTACTACATGGGAAACAAACATTAAAATTTATAAATAACCTTAGAATGTTTATTCTACAGTTTACTTTGAATATTTCATGCATTCACCAGCTATATTGTGTGACATTTTTCTACAACAACAACACAATTTACTCACAAAATTATTTAGACGTTGCTTCGTCAAGGTGGCATCTGTTTGATCCATGACGACTGATTTTCGATTTTTTCTGTCTTGATGGAAATTTTTAGTTTTCCTTTTCTTCTTTTAAAAGGTTTGTCTCTTTATATACCCTGGATTTTTCTTCTATCTTCTTTTCTTGGGTTTTAGACTAAACAATTGCGTCTACTCCCTGAATCTTTTTCCCTGTAGTTCCTCACAATTTTTTTCAATTATATCTAATATTCTTGTTCTTTTCTGGAATATCTCTGTGTCTCTGAATGCAAAACCTCTTACGGATGTACACACCACCTCCTTCGACACGTGTTTTCCTTAGTGTTGTTATTTTTCAGTTCGGAAAGCGCTAGACAATAGCAATAATGCGCTGAATTATAGCAAAGTACGCTAGGCCGGATCAACCATACCGTATTGGTCATGAAACTATACAATATCTACTGCTAAAGCGCTAATAAACTCTCAATGATTTCAAAATAAGCGTTAAATGGTGTAACTTTTTTGTGAAAAGAAAGCTGCAGTAAA